AGCAGCTCAATTCATAACCATACGCTACCAGAGCTTCAAATCACATCCTTAAGATTTAGGATGTGATTAAATTGCTCAGAGACACTCAGCTTTTAAGCGCTGGACTCTGAATCTTGAACCTACAAAGTCTGACTCCTGAGCCTATGCTTGGAAGCACTCTACTATCTTTTTTTCAGGGTTACCTAGAATTGAATCTCCGGTATCTCAGAAGAGCTACCACTTGGATTCCCCCCTAAGCTTGAGGAAAGCAAAAGGAAGAGAGAACTATTTCAAAGGGGAAACGGCTCTTTTTCTTTTGCTAATACTTACTGTGTGGATACCTGACAGGTGTTCTGCATAACATGTTACATTCGCTCTTCACATAAACAATACTGTTACTGAAAGACAGGACAGCTACTTGACTCATCCCCTTCTTTTGCCATTTTCGATAAATGAGTTGGTCTCCGGCATCCTTCAGTGGTGACCAATTTGGTTTTTCTGTATTATTACAATGAACTCATGGCTATAAAAATAGTTAATAGTCTTTCAGTCTACTTATTCATCATTCCCCAAGCTTATCCATGGATTTTGTGATTGTCTTCCCTCCACCCCTTGCTGAGCTACATGTCTTTTGAAATGTAGGAATTTACTGAGCGCTGTAGGATGATAAGCACTGGACCAAGTGGTCAGTTTGAATCGCAAGGTCGGCAATCCAGACTCACCAGCCTCTCCTCAGAAACCATCCTATTGCTATGAGTAATATCCAACTCGACTCCACTTAACAACAACAACCAGTAGGGAGGGGCATGTGTCTTCATGTGTTGTTTTTCTTAAGTACCTTTGAGTCAGTTCCGACCCATAGCGACCCTGTATAGGCTTTCCGACCCTGTATAGCAGCTGGTGAGCTTGAACTGCCAACCTTGCGATTCAAACCCACTTTGCAGTCCAGCACATTAACCCACAGTGCCACACCAGGACTCCTTTGCAGAAGATGTGAAATCAAAGGACACTTGTTGTTCCTAATTGTTTTAGTCATGCAGTGCCTCTAGAACAGAAATAGCACAAGTGGATTGTTTTAACATAACAGAAATTTATATTCTCTCACAGATTAGGAGGCTAGAAGGTCAAATTCAGGCAGCCAGCTCTAAAGGAAGGTCCTAATTTCTCCAAGTTTGGCAAAGAAACAAACACATAGATGACATTGCTCTTCTCCCATCTTTCCTTGTTGTTGTTGTTGTCATTGAGTCGGTTCTGACCCATAGCTACCCTGTATAGGGTTTCTAAGGAGCAGCTGGTGAGTTTGAACTGCCAACTTTGTGGTTCAAACCGACTTTGCAGTCCAGCGCATTAACCTACAGAGCCACACCAGGATTCTAGCTCACTCATTTATTTAATCTGCTCTTTTTATAGTTTGTAAAAGATTTGACTCAAAACACAACTCACATTAATCTGGTCTCATTAACGTAACAAAGGTAGCTCATTCCTAAATGAGATTATAACTACAGGCTTGTTTCACTGTTGTTGTTGTTGTTAAGTACCCTTGAGTCAGTTCTGACTCACAGCCACCTTGTATAGGATTTCCAAGGAGTGGCTGGTGAGTTTAGAAGTCAGTTTTTACAACACATAATTTTGGGGACACAATTCAAATCTATAACACTAATATATATTTTGTGTGTGTGGGCAGGTGCTCGACCTGGTTATATACTGACAGTATTGTAATTTACTCTGGCCTCTGGAGTCCTGGTGTGGTGCTGGACCTCAAAATCAGTTTCAACCACAAGGTCGGCAGTTCAAACCCACCAACCAGGTGCTCCTCGGAAACTCTTTACAGGGTTGCTGTGAGTCGGAACCAACTTGACTGCACTGAGCAACAACACCACTGCCTTTAGGGATGTTAGCATTATTTATTTTCAGGTACGTGCAGAATCTCTCTGTAGTTGGAGGAGGGAGAAGAACAAATAAGATCATGTATAAATAGAGTAGCCAACAGAGAATAAATACATTGAGCTCTTCCTATGAACTGGATACAACTAAGGATTATATAGGTTTTCACTTAAACTTCACTAGAATATAGGTGCCTGAGTGGCACAAATGGCTTGCACTCAGCTGGTAACTGAAAGTTGGTGATTCAAACCCACCCATAAGTACTCTGAAAGAAAAGACACGGCGATGTGAATTTGTAAAAATTACAGTCAACAAAAGTCTGGAGTAGTTTTATTCAGTTAACACATGTTGTTTACTGTTAGGCGCCATCTAATCTGCTCCCATAAAGATTTGCAGTCTTGGAACCCTAAGGAGTTCTTTGTCTTCCAGCGTTGCTATGAGTCGGATTTGACTAAATGGCTATGAGTTTGGGTGTTTTTGTTTTGGGGGTTTTTATTTGGTTACATACACATATACAAAGTAAGTGTATGTGCATGTGACTATGTGTATGTGTATATGCCAAGGGGCTCTAAAACATTAGTGGAAAAATATCTTTTCATTCTACTTCTCCATGAAGAAAAGACTGCAGAAGAACTGCTGCATTTGAAGTGTGGTGTTGAAGTATATTGAAAGTATCATGGACCGTCAGAAGAACAAACCGATCTGTGTTGGAAGAATGCTACTTAGACACCATGATGGCAAGACTTCGTCTTTCACACATGTTGTCAGAAGGGACCAGTTCCTGGAGAAAGACATCATGCTGGGTCCAGTGGAGGGTCAGCGACAAAAAGAAAGATGGATTGACATAGTGGCCACAAGAAGGGTTCAAACGTAACAACTGTGAGGAAGGCGCGAGACCAGGGAGTGTTTTGTTCTGTTGTGCATGGGATCCCTATGAGTTGGAATCAACTCAACAGTACCTAACAACAAATATATATATGTATACACATATATTGTTTAATGCCGTTGAGTTGGTTCTGACTCAGCTACCCTGGATAGGGTTTCCAAGGAGCAGCTGGTGAATTTGAGCCACTAATTTTGTGGTTCACACCAACCTTTCGGTCCAATGCTTTATCCCACAGTGCCACACCAGGACTCTCTCTATACATATACATTGTTGTTGTTGTGAAGTGCCGTCAAATCGGTTCCGACCCATAGCGACCCTGTATAGGGTTTCCAAGGAGTGACTGGTGAGCTTGAACTGCCGACCTTGCGGTTCAAATGGCTTTGCAGTCTGGCGCATTAACCCACAGCGCCACACCAGGACTCACTCATTCACTCTCTCTCTTTCTCTCTCTCTCTATATGTATATATAAAATAAACATAGAAAAAATATACATTTGATTTTAATATCGTTAGCATTTTTGTACTTTTGATTGATCTGTAGATGGTCCTGAGGTGACAGAAGTATGGAAACTCTTTTCTTGAGCTCTAGCCTATGATGGGGATAGATAAAGTGTGGGCTTGTCTAGAAGCAGGGTTCTCTAAGTCCTTTGATCAACTTCTAAATTTTTCTTGCCTCCATCTTTTGTTGCAGAATTTGACTCATAGTACCCAGAACTATCTTGAGTCTGAGGAAGCAGCACTGGTGGCGCAGTGTGGTATGCATTGGGTTACTAACCACAAGGGCAGCAGTTTGTGTCCACAAGCTCTGTGGGAGAAAGATGAGGCTTTCTGCTCCCGTAAAGGTTTACATCCCCAGAAACCCTATACAGGGCCGCTAAGGAGGCTGAACCTAGTTGATGAGCCAAAACCACCACCCACATAGACTAGACTTTAAGGAGGACTCAAGTTGTGGTTATGAGAGGTGGGCTTTAGAAACCTGTTCATCACAGAATGTCAAAAGAGTCAAATGTTCTGATTCAATTCCTTTTATTTGCTATGTACAAAGCCGATACGTCTGAGGTGAAAGTAACAATGATTCCAAGCATAATGATTATGCTTTGTGTTGGCACCGTTTACAGAATCACCTGGAAGGAACTGCCTCATGTCAATTTATCCAGAGTCTCCTGAGAAACTGGTAATTGAAGGAAATAGTTAAAACCAATCCCCCAAACAGAATTCCATACACTTACAACCAACTCAGGCCTGCTTTGGGTCTGCTCGCTGCTAAGGAGAGGAGTGTGCTCAATTCTGATGAGGTTTTAAGCATGTGTTACAATAGTTTAACAGGCTACCTGTGAAAGAGCAACTGGATGAATGTTTTAATGAAAAGTTTCTAACTGCCTCAAATGGCAGAGGAACTAACATGTTGCAACTTTGATTTGCCATAATGTGCACACTTCTGAATAGCATTTGGAGTAAACAGGGACTTGTGAGAAATTGGGACAAAGGAGATTTACCTTTTTGTTCCTGGAGTCAAAAGCAAAATTCACACCTCCTTACCCATCCGCCCCTTTTAGGAAAACAGGGTTGTGGTTCTCATTTCCTTTAATGGGCTTGGCTGCATTTGTTACATCCTCTGCTCAACTTTGGAGCAGGCCAAGTCTTCTCTGAATCTGGCTGAGGAGAAAGCCGGCAGGCAGGAAGTGATCTGTCTAGGACTGGCTGAAATTAATGAGCACTTCTTGGCTGCCTGCTGGTCTTCAAGCTTCTCTAAGCACTATGGGAAATCTCTCATTCTGGAAGGAGTCACAGCTCCGTCTGGACTACCAGCAGGCACCGCATTACCTGCCTAGACATAGCAGGTTTGCTTGAATGGTCAGGGCTTGACCTATGCAGCCTGGAGCCATCTATGAATGTTCAACCAGATAGCTTTTTTTTTTTTTTTTTTTTAATGTGGAAACACTGAGTTTGGGTTTAAGTCAAATACTGTTTGATGACTCCTGTGATAGCTATGAAGAGATTGCTGATCCAAAAAAAGGAGGAGAGCTAGCAGTCTAAGAAAGCAGTGCCCCAGCAAGTCTTTCCGAGGTAGCCACTGAATGATACAGACATCCAAATCAATATAGCACCAGGTTAAATGAAATAGGACAGCAGATCTCAGTGGGGTGAGCTCATCTATTGGGCCCCAGGGTTGGGGTGACCAGAGTCCAATAGTTCAGCCTATTTGAGACTCAAGAATAAAATGTGACAGATGGGCAAAAGGGTCTTCCTTCTTCAGACCATTCAGGTTTGTGAGGTGACCGCTGTGAGGAGGAGGGGAGGGCAAAGGCCAGAGTAGCCGCTGGTGCCGCCTTACAGGCTTTTCATACACACCTGGCAGCGGCTGACCCGAGTGTGGAGCTGTCCAGCTTTCAGCGTCTCAGACACAGGTTCCTCCTCCCCAATCTGCTGCCTCTTCTCCACTGTTGTCAGCCAGAAGCTGTACTTGTTGGCAAAGTAGTGACAGGTGCCCCGAGCACCAGTGCACTCGATGAAAGGAGTGGCCCGAAAGTCCTCTAGGCAGGAGCCAGGTGACACCAGGGACTGGCCTCCGCCCTCAGCCCCAGCAGCAGTGTGCTGAAACGGAAGGAGGGTGGTGTATGAGCTGGGCCTGCCAGGGGCTGGCCTGGGGACACGAGGAGACACTAGGCTGCCATAGGAAGATGCGTGTGCTTGCAGTTGGTAAACGCTCATTCCTTTTTGGTGTGCAGCATCCAGCTAGCATACCAAAAGCTGTAGTGTAAGGAAGGGGCTGCTCATCCTCCCTCATAACAGCTGCCCTCAAAGCTCCCTAACTAGCTGCCCTTGAGCCAACTCTGACTCTTGGTGAACCAATGTGTTATCAGAGTAGAACTGTGCTCCGTAGGGTTTTCAGTGGTTGATTATTTTCAGTTGATCACCAGGTCTTTCTTCCAAGGTGCTTCTGGGTGGACTTGAACCTCCCACCTTTCAGTTAGCGGCTGTGTTAATTGTTTGCACCACAAAGGACTCCCCAAGCTCCCTAATGCCCTCCTAACCCATTATGCATGGGCAGTGGCTACATCTAAACCAGTGTTTCCCAAACTTATGTTTAGAAGTGCATGAGGTGACAAAACATTTCCCCCACCCCCAGAGGACAAATACATCAACTTGAATGGTTTGATGCACTACACTGCAAGGTCAGTTTGAACTGCAAGGTCGGCGGTTCAAACCTACCAGCCACTCCTTGGAAACCCTATACAGAGTCACTATGAGTCAGAACTGACCCGGTGGCACTTAATAACAATAAGCACATCGTTTAGGGTGGCATACAGTTTTTCAAACTGACTTTGCTGTCCAGTGCATTAACCCACAGTGCCACACCAGGATTACTCCACATATATATTATTGTTGTTAAGGTCCGTGGAGTCGGTTCCGACTCATAGTGACCCTGCACAGGGTTTCCGAGGCTGTAAATCTTTACAGGAGCAGAAAGCCGCATCTGTCTCCTGCGGAATGGCTAGTAGTTTCGAACTGCCGACCTTTTGGTTAACAGCCTGATTCATAACTACTATGCTACCAGAGTGCCTTTATTTATATATATGTATATATCTCCACATCTGCTTCACTGGTTTTTATGTCTGTAGAGAGCCCAGACTAAGACAGGGTGCCACACCGGTTTTCCCTGGGAGTTGCTCTGAACTTACTTTGAGGAAATGCTCCCAGATATTCACTTGCAATCGTGTCAGGGACTGTTCTATACATAAGTCAAAAATGTCCTCTGTGTCTTAACCCCAAGTTTTTTACTTCATAGCAAACTGAGGCCCATTTGCCCAAAAACAAAAGCCTGCCAGAGCCTTTCAAATGTGTCTAGTTATTTAGAAAATAGACCAAATCAGTAGGTTTTTAGCCTGTTTAACATACCCACGAAACTGCACCCAACATCTGCTAGCCTGAGATCAAATAAAACCTTGTCGATCTAGGGGCCGTGAGGTGCTGTTGCCTTCAGAGTCATCAGACCTAGAGACTCCCTACCGTGCTATGGGGGGGATCTTGCCTAGGGGCACACAGGCTTCCCCCTACTTCTCTTCGCCAGGGTTTTTCATGCTCTCTTCCCCTTCTAGCGGTTCCCTGTACCCCTTGCCTTTGGCGGACCTCCTGCCATGGGGGAGCACCCCCTGCATGCGGCCATCAATGGCTTAGCCCACAAGGTCACTACAGGGACCTCATGCCTCCTTGGCTTTATACATGTCTTAAGTTCTTTCATAGCAAGACACACCTGGCACCGCCTCCCCACTATCCTAGAAGTCTTGGAAAGGCAGCAAGACTTCTAGCAAGGACAGAGAAATTCTGAGCCTCTAGGGAGGAGATGGAGTCCTGGTGTGGCACTGTGGGTTAATACACTGGACTGCAAGGCCACTTGAACTGCGAAGTCGGTGGTTCAAGCTCACCAACCACTCCTCAGAAACCCTATACAGGGTTGCCATGGGTTGGAACCGACTTGATGGCACTTACCACCACCACCAAGGGAGGAAATGGCACTGGGGATAGATGAAAGGTTAGGGCACACCATGCCCAGTCTGACCAGAGAGAGTGTAGGAGGCCCTTAGCAGTGACAGCCTCACCCTCCTCCCTGCCCACCCAGATATGTGTTCCCACCTGCCCTTGGTGGAAACAAGGGTGGAGAAGATGTTAGGGTCTTTGATGAGGAGTCACAGAACCACTGCTTCCTTCCACCTATACCTGCAATGACCTGCCATACATACAGAATTGGACACTTTGGTCTCTAGCCAAGCCCAGGTCAAGCACTGTCTATCCTTTCAAACTCCCTGTGTCTAGCAGTCTGATGTAACTTCCCAGAGTTCCCTGCCCCGTCTCTCCAGTGGGGGAGGTGCAGTACCCAGCCTTACCATGAGGAAGGAGTACCCGATCCACAGGCTGCGCCAGCCCCGGGGGCACAGTGGGATGGTGACATCTTGGCTATGCACAGCAATGGCTTGAGAGGGCGCCTCACACACAGAGCAGCGGCTGATGTACTGGGGAATCTGGGTCTGGCTGACGGGCATCATGGGGATCGGAGCAGTGGTGGAAAGCCAGTAGGACTTGTCATTGCGCCTGGCATAATGGCACACCTCGTTGATGTTGCAGTAGATGAAGGGCATGGTACTGAAGCGAGGCAGGCAGGAACCAGCAAACCCTGGCAAGGAGAGGAGATGGCTGAGGGGCAGGGCGGGGAGTATTTCCAGGGCAACCTAGGCCTCGACTTGACGGGATTTGAGTTAACACCAAACTGCATCTACCGGACCAGGGTACTCCTCTCCTTACGATCCTGTAAAACCCTGAAACATACAGGCTGACATCTGGGGATTAAATCCTATTTTCAATGTACTAGGAAAGTTTGATAATGAAAATAATAATCTTTTTATAAATGAAATAATGCCCCAACTAATCTGCTTTGTAAACCCTGCATTAAATGGACTGCGTTTCAGAGGCAGCACACCTGTAGACAATATAATTAGTTCTTGGGGTCGCCATCATTGCCCTTAAGAATAGCAGTAGAACACTGTCAGCACCAGAATATTGAATACTGAAACATTATGAAGAACACCAGAATACTTTCAGATATAGTGTCAGAACATGAGCCCCTCAGGTTGGAAGACACTCAAAATGCCACTGGGGAAGAGCTGCCTCCCCAAAGTTGAATTGGCCATGGTGACATGAACAGAATAAAGCTTTTGGGATGTTCATTTACTGATGGGGCACAACTCAAAATGAGGAGAAACAACTGTAAACATCCACTAATAATTGGAACATGAAATGTAGGAATTGTGAATCTAGGGAAATTGGAAGTTGTCAAAAATGAAATGAAAGGCATAAACATCGATATCCTAGGCATTGTTGTTGTTGTTGTTGTTATGTGCCGTGGAGTTAGTTCCGACTCATAGCGACCCTGAACAGGGTTTCTGAGGCTGTAAATCTTTACAGGAGCAGAAAGCCTCATCTTTCTCCCGCGGAACAGCTGGTAGTTTCAAACTGCTGACCTTGCAGTTCGCAGCCCTATTCATAACCACGACGCTACCAGAGTGCCTTGAAATGGACTGGCATTGGCCATTTTGAACAGACAATAATGTGGTTTACTATGCCAGAAACTACGAATTCAAGAGGAATGGCTTCCTTCCACCCATACCTACATTCATCATCAAAAAGAACATTTCAAGATCTGTCTTGAAGTATAGTGCTGTCTGTAATAGAAGGATATTCACACGCCTACAAGGAAGACCAGTTAGTACTATATTATACAAATCTACGCACCAACCACTAAAGCCAGTGATGATGAAAATGAAGAATTATACCACCTTCTTTAGTCTTAAATTGAGCAAACATGTGATCAAAATGCATTGATAACTACTGTTGATTGGAATGCATAGATTGGAAACAAAGTAGTTGGAAAACATGGCCTTGGTGATAAAAATGATGCCAGAGATTGTGTGATACGATTTTGCATGGCCAATGACTCGCTCATTGCAAATACCTTTTTTAAAACAACATAGAAGTTAACGATACACATGGACCTCACCAGATAGAATACACAGAAATCAAATTGACTACACCTATGGACAGTAGCCAGTGGACACGCTCCATCCATATCCATATCATCAGCCAAACCAGGCCAGGGACAGACTGTGGAATAGACTGTCAATTGCTCATATGCAAGTTCGGGCTGAAGCTGAAGAAAATGGAAACAAGTCTACGAGAGCCAAAATTAGACTTTGAGCGTATTCCACCTGAATGCAGAGATCATCTCAGGAATCGATTTCACGCATTAGATACTAATAACTGAAGACTAGAAAGGTTGTAGGATGACATCAAAACCATCCCACAGGAAGAAAGCAAAAGGTCATTAAGAGACTGTTGTTGTTAAGTGCCATCAAGTCGGTTCTGACTCATAGCCAGTCTGGATAGGGTTTCTGAAGAGTGGCTTGTGCATTTGAACAGCTGACCTTGCAGTTCAAACAGACCTTGCAGTCCAGCACATTATTCTGCAGTGCCACACCAGGACTCCATTAAGAAGACTAGAAAGAAGGAAAACACCAAACTGGATGTCAGAAGAGACTCTGGAACTTGCTCCAGAGTAGAGACGTTAAAGCAAATGGAAGAAATGAGATAAAAGAGCTCAACAGAAAACTTCAAAGGACAGCTCGACACGGCAAAATCAAGTATTATAATGAAATGTGCAAAGACCTGGAGTTAGAACACCACAAGGGAAGAACACGATCAGCATTTCTCAAGCTGAGGAACTGAAGAAAAAATTCAAGCCTTCACTTGCAATACTGAAGGATTCTAAGAGCAAGACTTCACTCTGCTTGGCTCTACTACCAACACTCATGGAAGCAGCAGTCAAGAAATCAAACGACGTATTGCATTAGGCAAATCTGCAGCACAGGCCTCTTTAAAGTGTTCAAGAGCAGAGATGTCAGCTTGAGGACTAAGGTGCACCTGACCCAAGCCATGGTATTTTCAATAACCTCATATGGATGCAAAAGCTGGACAGTGAATAAGGAAGACCATAAGAATTGATGTATTTGAGTTAAGATACCAGAGAAGAATACTAAAAGTACCATGGGATGCCAGAAAGAACAAACAACTCGGTTCTGGAGGAAGTGCAGGCAGAATGCTCCTTAGAAGGCAAGGAGACTTCTTCCCTCATACTTTGGACATATTATCAGGAGGGACTAGTCCCTAGAGAAGGATATGATGTTTGGTAAAGTGGAGGGTCCGCAAAAAAAAAGAACCCCCCCCCCCAATTGAATTGACACAGTGACCGCAGCAATGGGTTCAAACGTAACAACAGTTCGGAAGATGGCGCATGACCGGGCAGTGTTTCATTCTGCCGTGCGTGCATAGGGTCGTTGAATTGGAACCAACCTGATGGCACCTAACAACAACCTATTTTTACTACTCATAATCATCAACATTTAATGGCTGTTTAATAGGCGGCAAAAATTGTTGTAAGCATTTTGCATTGGGTGATTCATTTTGTATTACACCATACTAGGAAGGAGCTACACAGCTAGTAAGCGGTAGATCATAACCCACAGCGGCAGTGGGAGGGGAGAGAAAGTTGACTCTACGCTCCCATGGGACACATGGCAGGGCTTGCTGCTACAGCTAGGGTACCTACCTAAGTCCTGGTTGTGGGCTTTCTCCTGCCCCTCCACGAACAGCAAGCTGTAACCCACCCACAGCTGGCTCATCCCGAGGGGGCACAGGGGCACCTCCTCAGACTGGCTGTGCTTCACCAATGTGTAGCCCACGCTCACGCTCTGGCCAGGTATTCCAGGTCTCCCAAAGGGGCCCTGCTTCCCTGGAGCTCCTGAGAGGAAGAGCATAAAAGGTGTGAGTCTGCTGCCACTGATAGTATCCACCACCCACTTGGTGCCAAATATGCTGCAAGATATGTGATGTATATGCAGCATCTCACTTAATCCTCACAGCAAATCTGAGACCGTACTATTCCTATCCCAATGTGGAGAGGAGGAAACAGGTTTCATGTGTCACATGGTTAGTAAATGGCAGAGCTGTGACTCCCCTCTAACCAGTACACTCTCCTGTTTCCTCCCCAGCCTCCTGGCCTTGGATTCTTGGAGACTTGGATTCGCTGAGTGGTAAAGTAGCTCATACGGAGATACTTGTTGTTTGGGTACCGTTGAGTTGATTTTCGATTCATAACAACTTCATGTGATGGGGTGGTGGTGGTTATATGCCGTGGAGTCGGTTCCGACTCATAGCGACCCTCTATAGGGTTTCCGAGGCTATAAATCTTTATGAGAGCAAAAAGCCTCATCTTTCTCCAGCGGAACAGCTGGTAGTTTCGAACTGCTGACCTTGTGGTTCGCAGCCCAGTTCGCAGCCCAGTCTGTAATCTTTATGGGAGCAGATTACCAGATTTTCTCCCGCGGAACTGCTAGGTGGGTTTGAGCCACCAGCTTTTTGGTTAGCAGCTGAGCACTGAATCATCATGCCTACAGAGTTCCTAAGGGGAAAACTGCCTGGAAACTGAGCCAGAAGAAAAAACAGAGTTACGATGAAAACCAAAAATCAATTGCTATTAAGTCAACCCTGTTTCTTAGAGCAATCTTACATGTGTCAGAGTAGAACTGTGCACAGGGCCAGATTCTTAGGAATAGATAGCAAGACATTTCTTCGGAATTGCTTCTGGGTGGACTCAAACGTCCACATTTTGGCTAGCAGTTGAGCACCTTAACACTAACCCACAACCATCAAGTCAATTCTGACAGAGCGACCCTGTATAGGGTCCCTGAGACACTAAATTTTTACAGGAGCAGAAAGCCTCATCTTTCTCCTGTGGAGTGGCTAGTGGGTTTGAACTGCTGATCTTGTGGTTAGCAGTCCAGTGCTTACCCTACAATGCCATTTGGGCTCCTTACATTAATTGCTGTTTCTGTTAGGTGCCGTCGAGTCGATTCCGACTCATAGCGACCCTGTAGCAGGGTTTCCAAAGAGCAGCTGGTGGGTTTGAACTGCCCACCTTGTAGTTCGCAGTCCAGTGTTGATCATACAGTGCCACACATTGTGGCAAAATCATGCTCGCCTCTCCTGCCCATGGCAGACATGCTTAATCAATCACAGTACCGACCCACTGAGCCTCAGAACTATTCTCTACTCGGGTAACTGATTTGCCATCCTGGATGTAAAAATGGGAGTTTAGTAGCAGAGTCACCCCTGTCCCATCCATGTCAGAATCCCTGGATGAAAAAGGAAGTTACCGGGCAAGGGACCATGCTATAATATAGAGTCATCGCTCTTAAGAGCGAGTAGAGAACCCAGAAAAAGGATTTAGAACAGTACTTTGCCTTCTAGAAGGCAGGGAATGTTTAGTTGTCTCACCTCCAGCTCTACCACCAGGTTTACTAATTCTCAGATTACAGTTTTTGACTCCTGAAGCCTCAAATCCTCCCAGAAGCCCTCTGCCCCAGTGCTGACCTTCAAATCCTGGAGGGCCTTGTAGTCCAGGGACACCAGGATCGCCAAGAACCCCGGGTGGGCCTGGGAACCCGCTGGGGCCATCTTTGCCAGAGATGCCAGGTAAACCTTTGGAACCTACAAGGAGATAAGGTGAACAGAGGACACTCAATGTGGACAGTCCTGAGGAGCTGGCTCCTGAGAAAGGAGCTCTGTGTTCCATACCCAAGACTCACCAGAAGAGGGCGAACTACTGTCAAAATTGGTGTCCAAACAGCTGCAGGCTGAAGCCAGCCTGTACTAACTCGTTCTTAGTGCAAGACCTAAGCCTTTTTGCACTTGGACAGGACTCTGAGCTCCTTAACACCATTTCCTCCTCCCATCTTCCAAGCAACCTTAGGAAGTACTCAGGGCAACAGTGATTCCATATCAGACATGGAGGTACCGGGGCACAGAAAACGAACATATTCCAGTTAGGGCATAACTAGGATGAGAAGGCTGATTTCACGTCTTGCAGCCTAGGGCTTTGTTTCCACTGCCTGTCTTGCTCCTTTATCCACTACTCACTCACTCCTTCCACCTGCTCAGCAGCACTTAAGAGGGGAAAAACTGTCAGCAGTAGCTCTGATACTAGGCCGGCGCATTCTCTCGAGCCAAGTACCACTACTGCGCTACTGGCCCTTCTCCTGACAAGAAGCTTGTGAGCTTCATGCAGGAACACAGGAAATGCTTGATGAAGGTGTCCTCTTGGAGCTAGGGTTCCAAGCTCCCTACCTCAGCCTACGGTGTCTCAGCTCCCTGCAAAGTCTCCCTATGCAATATCCCCCTCACCTTGTCGACCTACAGGACCTTGAACCCCAGGGTCCCCTGCAAGTCCAGGGATGCCATCAATGCCTGGTAGGCCTAATGGACCAGGAGGAGCCTGGGTGGCTTCTGCGATAGGTGTATGTCCAGGCGCACCTCGGGGGCCCGAAAAGCCTGTGGGTAGGGAGAATGAAACTGTCAGAGAGACGTAGAGGAAGCTACCAGAGGGTATACTGGGCAGTCCCCGAGCCTGCCTTTCTGCTCAGCAGCCAGTCCTCTTCCTTTGGTGTTAGGCCCCACTGGATATACCTGAAGGGTGGCTCTCTTCACCTTTTACACATCTTTTCCACCCATATATCTCCTGGATTGGCAGCTCCTTGAGGGCAGAAACTGCGTCATATTCATCTTGTCTCCTCAAGGTCTAGCACAGGACCTGCTATGTGGTAGGCCATCAGGAAGTGTTAATGCAGCCTTTGCTCAGGGCTAGGGCAGTTGGCTTATTCACTGATCCAAATGCAGTGGGAGACATCCAACCTCAGAGGTCCAGTTGGCATCAAAGTCTAGGACACCAACACCTGCCAGCTGGCTTACTAATGGAAGGCAGACATGCCAGTTTGGTGTCTCATTCACTGAACAATGAAATGCCTAGTATGTGCCAGGCCCCTGGTTGATCTGAGGACAGAGTAGTAACTAAGACACTAATACTGTAATTCTTCTGCACATCGGTGAAGTGATAGCAGATAGTGGGGTGGGGTTGGGGGTGCCAGAGTGGTATGAGATGGAGAAAACTTCTTTAGAGGGTGGTTAAGTGGCCTCTCATGTTGTTAAGTGCCATCAAGTTGATTCTGACTCATCACGACCCTGTGTAGGGTTTCCGAGGAGCTATTGGTGGGTTTGAACCAACAATGTTGTGGTTAGCAGATTGATTCTTATCCTACAGTACCACACCAAGATTCCAAGCCTCTCAGGAGAGATGACATTTAAGCTGAGAACTTTAAAAGTGTTAAAGGGAGCTAGCTATTTGAAGAATGGGGGAATAGAATTAACATGTGCAAAGGCCCTGTAGTGGAACCGAGCTAGACATTTTTGGAAGACTGAGAGGGACCAGTCTGTGAGGAGCACAGTGAATACCAAAGGAAGAAGACTGGCAATGATGATTAAGAGTAAGGCATTACAGAGAACTTTGTGGACCATAGTTTGTATCTGTAACATGGAAGCCATAGGGTGATTTGGATTTACAGGATCTCTCTGGCTGTAAAGGAGCCCTGGTAGCATTGTGGGTTACTAGTTGGGTTGCTAACAGCAAGGTCAGCAGTTCAATTCAACCAGCCACTTCCCTGGAGAAAAATGAGGCTTTCTACTCGAGTGAAGACTTACAGCCTTGGAAATCCTATACAAAGTGGTTCTGAGTCGGGACCGATTAGATGGTGCACAAGTGCCATCACCACCTCTAGCTGTTGTGTGGAGAAATGATTTCTGGGAAGGCAGGAAGCAGGGAGGCTAGTTAGCACACCATTCCAGTGGTTCACAGGAGACACGATGGTGGCCTGGAGCTATGTGGTAGTGGTGGAAGTGAAGAGAGGTGAGTGTATGCAAGGCACAATGAGGATGCAGAACCTCACGACTAGCTAATGGATTGGATGTGTATAGGGATGGGGGTGGTAAAGGATAGCTCTTCATTTTGGCGTTGAACAAAATGGGTAGCTAGTGATTTGAGTGCAAACTCAGCCCCCATGAATGCAGAAGTACTACAGAGGGGCAAGGTCAATGGTAGGATACATAGCAACAAAGCAGCAGTGGCCACCATTCCTGGGTGCTCATGGAGGCAAAAGTTTCCCCAAAGTGGAGAAACCTCCGTCACAGAAGAGCCGAACCCAACAACTTCCGGTCTTCAGACTTTCTTAGCAAGGTAAGCAATGGCTCCTGAAAGAATCTGCCCCACCTGTCCCTCAAGCTCAGGACCAGTCCAGCACATGCCCTCAACTCACCTCTTGGTCCTGCCTTCCCCTTCATCCCGGGAAGTCCTGGGTCTCCAGGTAGCCCAACCTTGCCTGGAGTCCCCATGATGCCAGGCTCACCTCTCATGCCTGACAAAGTCAAAAGGAAGCAAGTTAGGGCCTGGTGTTGTAGGGGAGGGGAGCGGTGAGGTAGGGACGAACATTATCAGCTGGTCATTTGTCCATCACAGGGCTGCAGGAAGGGGCCACATCAGACCATGGAGTGGGGAAGAGCCCGACAGCCTGTCAGGCAGCCATACCTTTCAGTCCTAGCTCTCCAGGAAGGCCAGAGAAACCTGGAATTCCTTGGTCTCCCTTGGGTCCTGGAAGTCCAGGAATTCCAGGGAAGCCAGGGTCTCCAGAGTCGCCTTGATCCGAGAAGGGGCCAGGAGGCCCAGGGGGGCCAGGGGGCCCTGGGCGTCCTAGGGATAAGATCAGGGAGGGATGAGGGGCAGGTGAGCAGGAGGTAGCCACTTCTGAAGGCCTTGGGAATGACAGGAAGCCAAAACCCATTCCCAGGGCTGAGAATGTGTCTGTGGGGTCCCAGCACCCAACCTTCTCAAACCCTTTTAGCACAATGTGATCCCAATGCAGGCTGGAAGGAGTCAAGCAGGTCCATGCATAGCCAACCAATAAGGACTGGGTAGACTGTATGAAGGGCCTCCCCAAACTCCAGGCCAAAGGTCTTGGCCATCCCTCTTTTGGGCTTCCTGTCTTACCTCGTTCTCCATCTAGGCCTGGTCGCCCAGGGTCACCAGGCTGTCCTGCTATGACTGAGGGCAAGGAGATGCCTGGGGCACCAGGGAGACCAGCAGGGCCTTGGAGACCTGGGAAACCTGCAAAGAATAAACAAAAAGGGCTGGCTGGGCTTTCTGTGTCCAGGGAGGGAGGGCCACACTTTCTTGGAGGAATTGGAAGCTCGCTCACACACAGAAAATGAAAGCTGTTAGGTATCAGCCAGACCAGAGAACGCCAGCAAACAACTTTCCCTACCCCGATCCTACCTTTGTTCTCAGCAAGCACAGACACAGAACTGACAAGGACTCAGAGACAACCTTTCTCCTCCCATTTTCACTGCCAGTGGCAATATTTTGTTAAGTGCCATCGAGTCGATTCTGACCCATAGCAACTCTGTATATAGGGTTTCCAAGGAACAGCTGGTGAACTTGAACCACCGACTTTGCAGTTCAAATGACTTTGCAGTATGACGCATTAGCCCACTGCGCCACACCAAGAAATATTTCAGGCTGTAGCAAATTTCCCCCAATTTAGAGAAGATGGTGTGCGCTTGGAATTTAATGGTGCTACAGAATCAGAACTGGACTGCGAACCACGAGGTCAGCAGTTCAATCCCACCAGCTGCTCCTTGGAAACCCTACACAGGGTCGCTATGAGTCGGAAACCGACCCAGCAGCACATAACAACAACAAGGTGTTTTCGGACCAACTGGCATAGTCAAGAACATTGCTTAAATTAACCAGTTACGTATGCCTCGTGCTGTACGAAGGTCACATGGTGATAGGGTGCTGGCCCTAACCAGACAAAACGACACCAGCCCAATCAGAATGGAAGCAGCAAGACACTTGTATCTCCAGGCATCTTCTAGGTAAAGCTGCAAACCGGAAAGCAATCTTTTATAGATAATTACAGATATGTCCTCCTTTTGTTGGCAAAAGAGAATAGTCATTTATTAAAGCAGATACAGGATACTTGCTTGCTCAAATTTGAATACTGTTTTACATGCTTTCTGCTCGTGGAATGATTTCTATGGTAGTTATGTGCACAGTCAAAGATATCAGCAGATTACAGAAAATGTATTGAGTAATCACGTGTCAAACACATAGATGCTTATCTTGATGCCAGAATCCATCGCAGCGAGATATATAT